AGGGGATTCTCCCAACCACCATCTCATCAAAATATCTTCGCTTGTTGAGTGAAGATTCAGGATATCTCTCTTTCCCAGCATGCTCCCTCTCTCAGTAAAGGTTAATCACTTTAGAACAAATTCGTTTCTGGACAAATATTTCTAATCACCTCTGTCTCAAACAATGACAAGAGAATGCTTTGTCCATCTATTAAGGGAGGCGCACCCTAATTCTATAAGGGTGGGTCGTGTCCTTCCTTGGTGACCTGGTCCTCTATGGGCTGGAGCTCCCTTCTTCCTTCAACCCAATCTCCCTAAGTCTCGTCTTAGTTCTTCCTCTATGGTTACTATCTCACCTCGGCCCATCTATCTTACGATATTCGGGCTGGAACCTCTAAGGTTATGGACTCTAACTTGGGTCTCGACATATTTTGGGTCCAACCCATCTTATAATGTCTTGATGGACCAGGTTCCCATCAATAATATTTTTGAAGTAATTAATAAATTTTGTATTTCAATATTATTTTTGGTGATGAAAATATATAAATAGGTTAATGGTTTTTTATAACAAAGACAATAATTATTATTTGACGTAGAATTGAAGGGTTCTATTACAATCTAGGCAAAAAAAAATAATTATAATACAATGTAAAATTTAATAATATGGGATATGCGAGTTCTGAGCAAAAAACGTGAGATGACTTGGAGAAATTTTTTTGATATTTGATTAATCGAAAAAATGGAAGTTTAAATCATAACGGGCAAATGAATGGAATGTATTCTCGGAGTACATTACCATGAGTTTTAAAGTCTTGCATATTTTAAATAATATGGGTTTCGAAAATTATTACCAGAATATCTAGGATAGTCCGAAATAATGTTGTCTAGTATAAATTAAATTAAACTTTGTTCTTCGTATTTGGTTTATCCATAATTCATTGAATCCTTTCTATAAACGTGCGAGTTATATATAGTTATATTATTATCACATTTTTAAATAAAACATACTGCCTATGTGTTATACTCTGTATTAGCATCATCACGAATGGATCTCAACTACCAAATAATCCTCAAATTTTTGGAATGTGGTAAAATCTAATTGATTATTCATGTGTATTGAATTTAATACTATAAAATACGGAGTACCATTTTCAACCACACATGCAATACCAAAATACAAACTTAGCGCCAAAAGAAAAACTGGCTATAAATACTTCAATCATCTATATTACACAATCATAATTAGTCTTAATATTCCATCAAATCAAAGTAGTTTAGTTTCAAAAATGTCTAGCAACAGCGTGAACAAGCGGGTTAGTAAGGGTCGCCAAAAGATTCCTATGACAAAAATCGAAAACGATGTTCATCGTCAAGTCACATTTTCAAAGCGGCGTTCAGGCGTATTCAAGAAATGCAGTGAACTATCAACCCTATGTGGCGTGGATATTGCTATGATTGTATTTTCACCGGCAAACAAGGCATATACTTTTGGAAACCCTAATTTGAATGCAATACTAAACAAATACTTTGATGAAAATCCAGCACTGCAAGCAAACATCACAGATGAGATTCTTCGTGCTCGTCGCGAGGCCAACATGAGCACAATGACTCCGAGGATCAGTGATATGGAATCTCTCATTCACAATCTCAAGAACGAGAATCAAGCTTTACACGAAGCTGGAAAGGGTAGACTCGATATTTCCAGCCTACAGTTGTCTGAGCTAGAAAATTTGAAACAACGCTTAGAAATGCTTCAAACTAAAATTGATGAAAACCTAAAGGTGGCTTCAATGGAAGTTGAAAATCATGGCATGGACACACCAACTATTGAAAGGGGTAACTTCTTTGGCTCCCATTTTGGAAACAATTGTGGTTTTGGACCAAGTGGAACTTCCTAGCTAGTTCATTGCTGATCAATATATTATATATATGATCCTAAGCTAGTGGGCATGATGATATATGCCATTATATTCTGCCCATTATATTCCTCATAGAGAACATGAATTGGATGTGGGTATATTATATTTTTCTACTTATTTTAAATCATTTTGTGCCTACATTATTGTTTTTTTAAAATCATTATTTTTAAAGTAATAAAAGAATCTTCATATTTCTCTTTCTTTTAGTAATATACTAATTTTATATTAGGAAGAATTTTAAATACGTGTTTAGATTCATCTTATAAATCACCACTCCCTCCATTATTCAGACTTAATGAATTCAGTTTGATTTCACGGAATATAAGAATAGAAAAATGTTTAAAATATTTTTAAAAAGTAATTTACGCGATACAATGGATGCCACTAACAAATAACGTTCAAAATTCCCACTTTTAAAACTTTTTTAATTACAAATTTGCATGGAAATAAATAAAAAGTATAAATTATATCGTCCAAAAATACATAAAAAGTTTTACAAAATAAAAACTGACGAAAATGTTTTATTTTATCAAGATGTCGTAATATAATAGTAATAGAGAATCTGTTTTCGGACGAAATGACTAGGTAGTTAAAATTTATTTTGAAAAAAAAATAAATAGTTTCATATATTCTTTACTTTAAAAAAGTAAATAAATATATAAATTAATCAGAGACAAAAAAAGTGTATGAATTATTTAGAGAAAAAGGGCATTTTCATAAAATACTCCCTCCGTCCCTAAATAGATTACAATTTTTTTTCTCTCTCCTCTCGATAACTTTTTTGTTTACGCGATTTCATTAAGTATTTGATAAAATAAAATATTATTGTCACCTCTTATTTTTTTTAGAACTTTTGACATATTTTTTTAATACTCCCTCCGTCCTAAAACTATCTTCCCAGTTACTATTCACACTGTCAAACATAAATCACTTTCTTTACCTATTTTCGTTAGTTATTTGATAAACTAATATATTCTTGTCACCTCTTCTTTTGTAGCACTTTTGATGTAGTTTTTAAATATATAAATTATATTTTTTAATTTTACACCTATAATCAAATAAATTGAATTGAAAATAAAGTCGGTCAAACCTCGTAAACACAAACGGGAAGATAGTCTTAGGACGGATGAAGTATATGTAATTTTTATATCTTATTGATATACCAATTTGTAAATAAAATAATTTTAAAAAGTAGAAAATTTTACTTCGTAATCCGCAATTTGTAATCAAATTGGGGATAGATGAAGTAGTATTCTATTTTATGAATGTACCATCAAAATTTATTTAAATTAACTATAAAAACCAAATTGGATAAATAAAATTAAGAGAACTAAAAGACCCAGGCCACCGTGTGGAAAACTGGGAAAGTAAAAAAGTACTGAGTATATGATTAAAAGCAAGGCTAGGGGTACACCATTTGGTGTATCTTAAATGTACACCACCCTCTTTTCTTTCACACATTTTTATTTGATTTTTATTTACTTATTTTTTTTTGAATTTTTTTGCCTTTTTTAGTGGACAAGGAGGGGGTGGGGGACATTTGGGGTACACCTTTGGTGTACCCCTAACATTTTTCTATGATTAATTAGGGTCTAGGGACAATAATAAAGTTTGACTGAATTAGGGAAACATGGAGTATTTTCATTAAAAAAAGTTATTTATCGTTGTAACTATGGAAAAAGACTAAAGTACACCTAAAACACTGAAAATAAATAAAAATAGGAGTTTCATGTTTTTATTCCCGAAATAAGAATTAAAATGTATTTACATTATTAATCATGACAATGTACATTACCAAAAAATATAGTAAAGTGCTTATACATAGTACTCCCTCCGTCCTAATTCTTTCTTCCCAGTTTGACTTTTCTACATTTTTAATTTTTGGCTTTGGCTTCAAATTTTACCCTCCTTAAAAAAGATTTTTTGAAATTTTTTTTGCAATCATTCAAAATATAGAGTTAAAAGATAATTGGTGTAAATACATGAGGGTATTAATGTCATTTGTTATCTTTTTTTCTAATGAGAAGGTAGTTTTAGAACGAAAAAAAAGGTGAAGTGGAAAAAAAGTTTTAGGACAGAGGGAGTATCACATTATCAAAATGTAAAATCTTATTTAAAGAATAAAAATATGAAATTCATATTTTGCTATTTTCTCTATGTTTTATTAACATTTAGGATGATTTCTTATGTATCTAGATTCATACACATGCATTGTACATTTGTACTGAATATTCTAAAAAATTGGGCTCGAATTCGAACACCTAAAAATCTAGGCTGTTCTAAACCAACCCAATTTGTGGCTCATTATTTTTATGAAACTTATAATATTGACTTTTGACGTATGTTGTAGCATTTTTTCAGGTTTTCATATTGTTTTGTCTTTTTAAAAACATTCTAAATAAATATATGTCTTTTTCACTATTTTGCAAGTCAAAGTGGTTGCCTGCCGCTTATGTATTTTATTTTTGTATTTAATTTAGGATAATGAAACATTAGAACAATCCAAACCCATTCCGTTAAAATTATAACATTCTAAAAAAATATAAGGACACGCTGCTAGGACACCAAAATATTTTTCCCGTCTCATTGTCTCGAATATATGTATATATATAATTATTTATATAATTATATAACACAAAAAATATCACAATTTGTATTTTTCTCAAAATAGATATAAAAAATATCCATATTCTAAAAAAATAGATTAGCGCCAATCTAGTCTTAGTCCATATTCTAAAAAAATAGACTAGAACTGGAACACTTAAAAATTTGAATTGTTCAAACCTATTCAATTTGTGGCTCATGGTTTTTCATAAAATTTATAATCTTAATTTTTGACGTATGTTGTAACATTTTTTTTATAGTTTTGGTTTTTTAAAAACATTATAAATAAATCTATCTAAAAATTTGGAATTTTATTACATTTTACTTAAACAATAAATGATTTAAGGATGGAAGGAGTATCTAATTCTAGATAATGACAAAAATTTAAAACCGCGCCAGGTAGGGGTCGAACATACGACCTTCTGCTTAGGAAACAGACGCTCTATCCACTGAGCTACAGGCGCTGTTGTTAATGGTTTGTAGTTGTAATTAGATATACTTAGTACTAAATTTTAATTTCTTCCTTTAAATTTCGCCTGGCGCTCACCCGATAAATTTCTCGCCTTCAAGTCCTCCATAGATTGCAAAAGCGGGGGAGGAGAAAATGGACGAATCGATCGGAAAATTCAGCAAATCCATCGCCGCCTTCTGCAACCACCTTCAGGCGAGGTGCGACGCCCTCACACAGTCGGTCAACCACCGCCCCGTTCCCCTCGGTGCCATTCCCTTTCTAAATCCCTAAATTATTACTCGTAGCACAAATCACTTTCTTTCTTTCTTCTTCTTCTTCTTATTTTTAATTTGATATTATCCATGAATTAGATTCTGCATCGACGACGTTCGTGCAATGCCTGAAAAGGAGAGTGGCTTCGACGAGCGGAGATCTCAACTTATTGGAGTCTATGTCCTTCGGAACGGTGTCGTTTGAGGAACTGCTTGGCCACTGCAATGAAGTCTACAAGAAGAACCAAAATCAGCTCTCGTCTCTCCAGGACCATCTCTGCTCCCTGGGCTATATCTCTTCTTGTGAGTAGTCTGCATAACACAGTCAATTTTTCATCTTTTTTTCTTTCACTTCGGTTCGAGTTCGACCCGGGATGAAGGAGGAAAAGAAAATGAAGTAAAAGAAACTAAAAATCGTAATTTTGTTTGGTTAGTACAAAAATAGGTAGGGAAATTACCTGTCAATAAAGCTTTTTTATTTGGTGTAGAGAAATTGTGGAAAGGAGGGGAGGGAGGGGAAGATGGAGGAGTTAGTTGTTTGCCAAACACATTTTAGTTTTAAATAACATCTTTGATTGTTTGAGCCAAATGGAGTGTTAATGAATTTGATTTAATCATTTTCTTAATGTTACTGTTTATTTTTTCCAAATTTGTTCTTGTTTGGGGTTGCATTAGTTGACATCAACAGTGATGACGACGAGGAAAATGGAGTCGAATTGGATGGTGTCCCATCAGATAGCTGCATTGACTTCACAAGGAAATTTGAAGACGACCCACTGTATCCTTCCCATTCCTCTACAAAATTTGTGCTCTAACTTGTAACGTGCCTTGCTAATCCAATGAGCTTCCACAGCCTGGCTTGTCCGTGAAATTCTTGAAATTCTTGAGAGAGCTATGCCTCAGAATGTTAGCTTTTAATGGTCTGCATTAATTTTTTGGGTAGGTGTTCGCGTAATATGATTCTTTCAAAAAATGCTTATCACCAAAAAACCCTCCCAGGAAACTATTTACTTCATGCTTATACTTAATGTTTGATGAGCTCAATTAAACTGAAAAAAAAACTCCTTTTTGACAAGAAGCACCAATATGCTTGTTGTCAAGCACCTCCTATGTCACTTATGTATTATTATTGGATTGTTGGCATGTGCTCCTTGACCTTTTCAGGTTAGACGAAACACAAAATTTACAGAACCTTGGATTTTCGGATGCCTGCATAGCTGCTCTTGCACCTGAAGGTTAGTAGATAAACGTGCATTTCCTCTTTGTGATATAAAAATTGTTTATACTCTTGGCTCCTTATTTGGTCTTCTTTTGATCGTGATTTGCAGCAAATACTATGTTTGCAGAGGAACCATTTCAATCTGTGACAAAGGTGCTGGATTTCACAGAAGGTCGAAACCTAGTTGCTTTCTGTCAAAGATCTTATCCTGGTGATAGAGCATGTCTTGATGTGAAAATGTTGTGATTATTATTACCCTCTACTGCAGATGAAACGGATCATGCATCGATGGCATTTGAAGACTCTACTCCCTTGATAAGTGTGTCACTTGATGATTATGAGACCCTTCCTAAACATATGAAGAGTTTGGCATCATGGGAGGTAAATTCTTATTGGCTAATGCCTCTTCCCTAATGGCTAATGCCTTTTGTTGGTAAGTGGTGAAAATGCCTAATGGTTAATGACTCTTCCAGGACTTGAATGCTGCTGTTGAGAAGATTAATAAATGTCTAAGAACAAAAAACGATAAACCATGTGCATTGCGAATGGATGAAGTTGAATCACTAGGATTGGGTATGTCTTCACAATTCATTCTACTGGTCTTTCCACTTTTCAGTTTGATCACGTCCTTGACTTTGAGACTGAGTTTAGTATGTGATCCTACAAGTTCCAAAGCAACTTCAATCCTAGACCCTTGTAGTCCTGTCAAAATGGTCGAATTTGGAATAGACATGTGGCATATGCTTAGCATGTGTTCAAAGAGTTGGGGCAATATTGACATTTCCTGAACTCCACCCATCCCCTCATTTTATAATATATATCTTGAAAAAATAAGTACTCAAAATAAAGTTGCATTGTCTTGTCAAGAATAAGGCTCGGATTCATTATTCTTGATCTTACTTTGGCCATGCCTCACAAGAACTGATGGCTAAATTTAGAAATTGGGTTTGGCCTCCCATTGTTCTCAATGGCCATGGACACTTAGAATTTTGTCTTCCCCATATAGTCTTCCCCTCTTGCCATTGTTACTGATGGCCAGGGAGATGGATGGACATTTTTGGGGACCATAGCTATTGAAAAAAAAATTTGATGGCTGCCAATGGCAATGGCCTGCAATATTTTTTTTATAATGAAAGTATTGGGGATGTGATTATAGATTAAGGAAATGCCTCAAATATGAAACTGAGGATTGAATATAGAATTGCTATACACTCGAGAAGACAAATGTAATAGCATCAGAGAATACATCTACAGTCATAGAATTATAGAAAGGGTATTTGGCATTGATTCACATAAAGAAAGACTCTAAATTCGGGACATAAAAGCATTCTTTTTGATGTTTTCTCATCGCAGGGCACAAAGCAAGATCTTACCTGCTGCTGCTCATAAAAATGAATCGGGTGGTTGTTGAGACTGCAAGTGGTTCAATTTCATATAGAGTTTTGTAGCCATTGTGTAATGTATACTAATAGCAGTTGCAGATCAATGTGTGTTCTGCATTCTAATTATGAATACTTTTCCTTTTCATCCTTAATTTGATTCTTAATTTGTGCAAATGTGTTCAATCTTTTTCTTTTCACAATCTATATTTCCATGAAAAAGTTCTGTTTGTTGGGAGGTAATTTGGTAATCAGTAACATCAACCCTTCAAGGTTTGGCACATGGGGTCTGAGGAGGATAGGTGTAGGAACAACTTATCCCTCCCTATATAGGCAAGGAGGTTGTTCACATAAATATATGCTCCCCGTAATTTATGCTAAAAGTCTGTTATTCATTAGGAAATAGTACATAATGAAGATGCACATCAACACACTCAAAAAAAAAAAAAAACTCAACTGCAGGACATATAATGAAGGTCAAGAACTTGATAGATAGGGGTCCTATTGCAGGACACATCTACCCTTCTCAGGCTTCCCATCCTCTAAGAAGGGTAGCCCTTGCAACACGGCTAACTCCCAGGGTAAATGCGCCCATACGGAGATCGCAGTTGTGGGTTCTGCACATATCCTTCACCCCTTTCAATCCTCTGGTCATATACTTATGAAGTTCTGCATTTACCTTGTCCTCATCCCACATAAACCCTTGAATGTTCTACACAAAAGGTTAAACCTAATTAGGACAATGCAATCCATTGGTAAAAGCTTAAGGCATAATTCTTGTGGTGAAGGGTAAGTAATCACCTGAACCCACTCAAAGTAGCTGACAGTTACTCCCCCCGAGTTTGCATAGATGTCTGGTAAAATTACAACACCTTTCTTTGCCAAAATCTGCAGAATACCATACACTGTAAAATTACAACTCTTTTTTTCTGTTTGGATGGAGGCTTTTAGTGCAGAGGGTTTTTGAGGGTTTGGTCTATATCTTTATAATTTCTCAAAACATGGGCAAAACATAAATCGTATACTAAATTACAAACCTCATCTGCTTCTGGATCAGTTGGATGGTTAGCGGCCTCAATGATAAACTTGGCTCTGATGTCTTTTGCAGTATCCCTTCAATCACATTCAGACCATAGAATCAGACCATGATTAGTATGAAGACTTGGGATTCCATCCTAAAAAAGTCTACTTGATAGAAGTACAATATCTGATTCATTAGTTTTTATGTTTGGATATATTCGGTTGATTTGGATGACTAAACAATAGTTCAGATTCTTATATCAACATATATTGTGAGAATAACCTGTTAATGACACCTCCAAGGGCAGCTGGGATTAGAATGTCACAGTCTTCGACCAGTATAGAGTTCGGGTCCATCTCATCTCCACCATGAAAACCTTTCACGCCATGGTTCTCATTCACATGAGTCACCAGAGAAGGGATGTCTAACCCTTTCTCATTCTTTAGGGCACCAGTGACATCACTAACCGCAACCACCTTCCCACCTTGCTCACTGATGAGTTGAGCAGCCCAGGAACCAACATTCCCAAACCCCTGGTGTGATGAAAAAAACACAATATATAGTTATTCTATGTTTCATGACTTCATTATTGCATGTATTCTCTGTAACTGTACAATATATAGCCCGAGATTGCCGTTGCTAGATGAATTACCCATACCTGTATGACGAAGCGCTGCCCAGAAATGGTCATCCCATGCTCATTAAGCAAAGCTTCTGTTGCAAAGAGAACTCCCCTTCCTGTTGCTGCGTCTCTGCCCAGAGATCCACCAAGATCCTGCTTTTGGCAAAACTTTGATATGTAAGAATGACTTCTTTTTTTTATAGTATGGAATCTGAAACATAGCTGACGCTTACGATTGGTTTTCCTGTAACAGTGGCAGGGGAATGGCCATGGAACTTTGAGTACTCGTCCAGAATCCAAGCCATTGTCTGGGGACCAGTGCCCATGTCAGGAGCGGGGACGTCTCTGTGGGCCCCAATGAGATCATGGATTTTCTGAGTGAAAACGCGAGTGAGCCGCTCGAGCTCAGAGATGCTCAGCTCTCCCGGGTTGCACCCTATCCCTCCTTTTGCTCCGCCGTATGGTATGTTAGCCACTGCTGTTTTCCATGTCATTAGCTGTGCCAATGCATTCACCTCATCATGATCAACCTGCACTCATGCACACACACATACACAACCATTCCTCACTTATACAATCCTGAGTTGCGTATCTACAGTCTACTCGAGTCCCACATCGGTAAATTAAGAAAGAATGATCTTGACTTATAAAAAACATTTCCTTTAAATCTAAAAAGCACCAATTAGTGTTTTTTTTGTGGTAAAAAATGCTTTTAACCACTTGAAGGCTAGAAATTGAACATTTCTAACTCAAAAAATCCTTTTTTTCACCCAAACTGTTTGCAAAATTTAAAAAAAAAAACGATGTTTCACCATTCCTGACCTTGTCCCTGTCTCCGTGCAACTCAGGGTCTTTTAACAAATTCTGAATTCCTAAAAAAAACAAATTCTGAAAATTTCTGATCATCATCATCATCATCATCAACTCACCTCTGGATGATATCTGATTCCGCCTTTCATGGGGCCTCTGGCATTGTCATGTTGGACTCGAAATCCGACGAAAGACGCCAACGAGCCATCATCTTTCGGTATCGTACACTCTACCTGTTTTTGTTTTTGTTCAAAACATTTCAAGAAACACCGATAAGCAAAAGCAGCAGGCAAAATTCAGAAACAAAAATGAAAAAATGAAGGAAAAAAAACCTTGACTTCTCGGAAGGGGATGAGCAAACTCTGTTCGAGCTTAGAATCCAAGCCGAGGAGGCGAGCTGCCAGCCTGAAGTTCCTGTTTGTTGCTGCTAAAGCATTCATGATCAACCGGAAGAGATGATCAATATAAAAAGGTAATATTTGAAGAAAATTAACACTAATGTTAGTTATAGCTCGTCCTTATAGTGTGTGTGTGTGTGTATTCATGGAGGAAATATATATACGGAAGTAATTGTGTTATATTTAGATAGGAAATCTACACGTTGCCTTAAACAACTCCCCACTCCTCAAAATCAGGACGTATACAATATATTCTGTAATTAATTAAAACATTAATAGAGCTTTGTTTGACATTATTTTTAGTGTGTTAAATTTGAACTTTATGAAAATGGCATCTCTTCGTAGCTTTTTGCGTTGTCATTTTTCGAATTTAATTTGCATATTAGAAAAAAGTATTCAAAAGGTTAACGCTAATCACTAATGCAGCTCCCAAATGATGCCAAATACTCTATAATTGATCTTTACACTTTCTTTCTTAGAAAAGAAATGTGGCACACAATATTTTATATCTTTTTAATACTAAATTGGACAACACAGGGTTTATTTTTTAACAATTTCTTTTAATTTGTGAAATGAAAATATATAGAATAATGCTGGGAGTATCCCATTTTGTACTCCAATTTGTACACATCTTCATCATCCACCATACATTTCTTATCTACTATCTGACTTTCATCCATCCAATAAAAAATGTATGGCGATGCTCGAGCGGTGTGTAAATTGGGTTACAAAGTGGGGTGCCCCAAACATTTTTTACAAAAATATGAACTTCATTGCAGAACGAAAAATAATAAGGCTATTAGGTGTGTTGTTGACGGCCACCTCAACAATGAGAGCCACATAAGTTCGCCTAGGTTTGAATCCCAGCGGAAGTGGAAGCGGAAGCATTGGTTCTTTGTGCGTCATTAGGTTGGAAATAGTACGAATAGATGCTACCTTGTACGGAGTAATAGAGTCAATAACATTCAAAAAAAATTCTTCATTCTTTACTTTTTTCGTTAATTATTTGTAAGAAAACATAGACACATCACCTCTTAATTTATCCCAAATAAGGGGAAAACATAGAGAAAGTACCAAAATAAGAGTTGCATATTTTTATTCCCTAAATATGAGTTTACACTGCGGTAATGTAGCACTGTACATGTGCATATTACTATACATTTTGGTAATGTACATGGTCATGATGGGTAATGTAAATGCATTTTAACTCCTATTTCAAAAATAAAAATATGAAATTCCTATTTTGGTATATTTTTAATATTTCACTCCTACTTTAGTCTTTTTCCCAAATTGATGTAGCTTTTTAACATATGAATTTATTTTCAAAATTTGCAAATAATATATTTAATTTAGGTTTTACACATCAGATTTCACAAAACGGTGAGTGTGTATCTTTTTTAATAAGAACTTCAATTAGAGATAAGGTAAAAAAATCGGGCCATAGTAGTGTTGTTCAAAACGGTGAAACTAATGTTAGACGAAGCCAAATTAAAATCAAGCTAAGAGATTCACGTAGATACCATAGGATCTTGGGGAAAAAAATACTTGCAATAGAATAGTCCATTTCTCGAGGATTCAAAATAGTATCATTCACGTATAACCCCACAAATAGATTCTTTAAAAAGTAGAAACATCATTTATTTAGGTATCACTAAAACAGAAAATGGAAGATTTTTAAAACTATGTGCAAAAGGAGTATGTATCTTTTTGATAAAACAAAATTTAAAAAAAGTATTGATAAATGAGGAAGTGTGGAGTTACACCATCCCAAATGGTGTAATTCCGTGACACTATTTCAATTGGGATACTTACGATGATCCGTTCGTAAAATTGACAGAACTTACTCCTCCTAATTCCCCCCGACCTTGCTCCCTCACGACCACTCTAGCCTCTGCAATTGAAGCATATAAGTTTTTTTGACATTTGGGTTAAAATTTTGATCAAAAAAGTCAACAAAACTTATGGCGTGCAATTGCATGAGCTAGGGAGGTCGTGAGGGGACAAGGTTGGGGCGGGGGAGGTTAGGATGGGTAGAAATATAATCGTCAACTTCACGAACAGAGTATCGTAGGTACCCCAGTTGAAATGTTTTCACGGAGTTACACCATTTGAGATGGAGTAACTCTACACTTTATATCTACACCTTTCAACCACATTTATTTGCTAAATCCATCCCCTTAAGTTAAATAGAAATCATCTATGTCACACTCTAAGGCACCCAATATTAGACATACAACACTCTTATGAAATAATGGAACTCGTGTGAAAGGTATGGATATAACAATTTTTACAATAAACAACTCATAAGCATAGAAAATCATATCACCAGCTGTGTTAAAAATTATTATAGATAGTTTTAACCGGCTTATAGGTATATTGAAATACTTCGTATATTATTACTTGTGTGTTACGAGCATTAACTAACATGTATTCAACTTCATCAATACTTTGATTTCACTCATTTGTTCAATGTTAAGGGAGCCGGTCTCCTTTATGAATTAGAGTTTGTTCTTTCGCCTCATTTTCAATTTATGTGAATTTAGTTTGTTTCAACATTTTTTAATTAAGAGTATAAATATTCATCTTAGTTTTTTATGGGATATTGGTCTTGCGTGGAAGATTGAACAAGTGACCTCTCATTTGAAAGAGTCACATTGGTATCATTAGACCACACGATCTTTGAAAATATGAATTTAGTCAAGTTCTGTTCAAATCAATTTAATTTAGTAAAATTCAATTTAACGTAGATTAGTAAATTTTATTGGTAATCTAAGGAATTAAAACTTTCAATGGATCAAAACATATAACACAATCCCCTCCCAACTACACTCTATAAATGATAAATCCCCTCTAAACCAATTACTTACCAAACAAGTCAATTGGGCAATTATACAATGTTGTTCAAGTGTTCAACCACCATTATTGAGAACAAATTACTAATGAATTGGAACAACAATTATATTCTTAGGTAGACAATGGTGGTAGAGTTGTACGTCAAAAGGTTGGAGACAAACAAGACAATGGAGGTAGAGTTGTAGCTAGGTCAAAAGGTTATTAGGAGACAAACTAGACAATAATAATATTGTGAGCACAATTCCATTACGTTTGCCCACTAGACATTAGTTTACAATTGTATTGCATAATGGACCAAAACATATTGGTTAACGTTAAAAAGGTTCATTATATTTTAATTAAAGGACAAATATTATACTCCTTCCGTCCCATGAAACCTTTCTCCTTTCTTTTTTATCCGTCCCACAAAACACTTCTCTTTTCTATTAAAAAGTCACTTTTACCCCTTACTTTTTCATACCTTAACTATCACATCATACCTTTTTATTAATAATCTATCCATCAAATCATACTTTTACCCATCACATCAAAGGACATTTTTGGAAATTCAATACCAAAATACACTCCCCTTAAATCTCTCATAAAAAGCAAAAGTCTCATGTTTCATGGGACGGAGGGAGTATCTTGGATGAACAACCATTCTTTATAATTGCACTCAATTTCTGACCCCATCCACCATGTCCCAGGTCAAGTTTGGTTTAGCTTTTGGAATATCCAGATTCAGTCTGACTTAGTTCAAGTTAAGATTTGATTTAGGCGAGTCAGATTCGGATTTGATTTAGGCGGGTCGGATTCAAGATTCTTTCTCTTGATTTCACTAATTTGAAAATTTTTAAAAAATAATGTAAAATACTATTCTTTATATTTACAGTATATGATAAACATTTGTATATATAAAGATTAAATTTTAAAGTCTAAATATATGTGTACAACAATAACTCAATCAAATCACACGAGAGTTGGGTCTGGATTATAAATATTATTGTATAAGGAAATATAGTTCTAGTTCAAACTCAGATTTTGTTTTTATAAATCAAATATAATTGTCAAAAGTTTACTTTTCCGCCCCAAATTAAAGTGCATGTTTACTATATACATGATCAAATTTTAGCCGTTTTATTTATCTATCTTTGTTATTTATTTGACAATATAGTATAGTCATATCGATTTCCTGTTATTTTATGGAATTTTTTATATTTTATTAATGAATATGCAAATTTTATTTTTTTATTCCACTATTATTATCACATAAATTGAGTTGAAATAACTTCAATCAAATATCGTAAACTAAAATGGAGAGTTTAAATTGAGACGGAGGTAGTATACTTCAAATGCGTCACAAATCTAGTCTTACCCAGGTCCTGGTTTAGTATTTTTTGAAAAAATTACTCAATTCAAAATTGATCTAGCTAGTCTTTCACAAAAAATCAAAGACCAAATATATTACCGGTGTCAATGACCACTACGGATCCATTTTTTTTGTCAAAATTCAAATATTTTCCCATCTATCTCTTTGAATTTAATCTTTTTGTTCGGGCCTGTTTGGAAATAGCGTTAAATATTAGCGTCGGCGTTTTGGATAAAATTTTAACGATGCAAATTACTTTGAAAATGCTAACTATAAACGCTGTCTGTAGGTAGCCTTTTCAAAACACTAACGCTATTCCCAAACAGATCTTTCATTTCTAATAGGAAGTTGGGAGTAATTAACAATGATATCATCTTACTACGTACTCCTTTCGTCCCGGAGTATTCGTCCAGTTTTGACTTTTGGAACTGTTCATCTAAGCACTTTGACTCATCAAATTTTCTCAATGTGTAAGCCTAAATATAGTAATGTGTGATCTTGTTTGATTTGTCTTAACATATATATATTATTAATATATAATTTCTATAATTTTTTAATATACAAATTACATGATAAAATGGATTAAAGAAGTATATTGGATGGTGTGTAAAAATGAAAGTGGACAGATACTCTGGGACGGAGGTAATATTTTTTTTGCACCATACTACGAAGTATTTAGGAAAAGGCTAAAAAAGTAATCGTTCGCACTTCGCAGCTTGATTTCAAGATTCCATTAGGGTTATTAGAATCTTTTGGGTGGAAATCCTTCTCAAGCAAAATTCCACACAAGCATGGATATGGATTCTTGGTTGTTTAATTTTTTTGACCATGTTCCTAAACACTTGCTCCAATCCCATTTTGGATTACAAACCGTGAGTTGTGACGTAAAATCACACGCTTTTGAAATTGTTTTATTTAAAATTTATATAAAAATA